AGACTGAATCAGAGGAAGCACTGAAAGTCATTTAGTTTAATTTACCTCATCCTCATCATCAAACAGGCCTTTCCCTCCACTGAAGAGGCCACTTTTTCCACCAAATGGAGAGAACTCGTCGTCATCGTCGTCGTCATCATCGTAATCCATCTTTGGTGGTTTAAACATGTCATCACTGTCGTCCTCAGCTGCTGTTAAAATGCACATAAACAGTATTGAGCAGCACGCTGTGTAAAACAGGCATGCTGTGGAGATAACTGACACAAAGTTGAACAAGAAGTGTGAATAGCACTGATGATGAATGAAAGTCCTACCCTGTGACTTTGAAGGCTTTGCTTCTTTTTTGACTTTACTTTTCTTCTTAGATGCCAGTGCTTCCATGACATGGTGGAAAGAAAATATCCATAAACATGCACATGCAGTGATGCAAATGACAATGCAATCAGAAACGTAAATCCCAAACGTAAAAATCTGTAGTTTCGACTTTTACTACAACTACATATGAGGAGTGGAAGGAACAAGAAATAAAAAATGAAAAATCAGAGTGAGATAACATGATAAAATACCAGTTGTTTGATAATGATGGGGACTTACATGCACGATCCCCCTCTGGTTTGTTGACTGGTTCACCTTTGATTCGAGCTGCCAGCTCATCAGCAAAGGACGATGGGCCTGTGTTCTGAATATGACAAAAACAACCAGAGTCTATTTGTTTCTCTGAGGCAGCGACATATCTGAACGTTTTCAGACTTAAATTACAAATACAACTGTGAGAAGAGTATCTCTTAATAAATACCTTTGTGTCGTCATCATCATCATCCTTGTCCGAGTCTCCAAATATGTCCTCGTCCTCGTCCTCGTCCTCATCCTCATCATCATCATCATCATCATCATAGCTCAACATGGACGACTTCTAGAGGAGTTTGAGAGGAGAAACTAAAATAAGAATCTTTAAATGTTTAAATGTATTCATTGGTTTGCTGGCATCGGGCTTACCTTCTTAATATTATTGTGACCTTCAACTTCCTCCTGATTAAAATCCTCATCTGAATGCTGTTAAATAAATAAATAAATAAAAAAGAAATTAGGTTTTCATTTTCTTGATTAAGATGCGGAAATAAAAATCTTACATTGTGACGGAATAAGAAACATGGTCTTACAACTGCTTCTTTGCCATCTTCACTCTCGATCACACTGTCTCTGTCACTGTCAACTGACATTTCTGGAAAGAATCACACACATACACATTTACAAATTAGCACTATGTTGTGTGCTTGGTACAGCGAGGAGAAGGAGGCTGCAATAAGTATACCATCACTTGAGAGGTCACCAAGTCCAACGTCCTCTTGTTCCATGAAAGCCTGGGAACCAATCAGGTATGGAAGAGGCCTGTCCACATAAAGATCCTAAAAACAAAAGCAAAAACAGACAAAGAATTCTAAGTACAGTAATGGAAGGATGCATTACCATGTGTATTTCTGCAGTAATCTATTTACTTTAAGCTCGAGAACACACCTTTGGCTCAAGGATGGCCTCCACTCTGTCAGTGGCCTCCTCGTCCTCGGAGTCAGAGTTTCCTGCTTTAATGTCCAGGTGCTCAAAGGCTGACTCCAGTACTTTAAGACCATAATTCACAGCTTCCTGCATCTTAGGGATCAGCTCTGCCTCTTTCTGCTCTCGAGTCTTCTCCTGAGGGGAATAGATAAATGAATTGCCGGGCAATTCAAGACTTGTGGATACTGTGACAACATGGTTTCCTGAAAATAGTAATACCCAAATGCAATATTCAGTGATACACTGGTAGCTGTCTGTGTTTTTATGCCAGTAAATGAAGGAAGAATGAATTCTGTGTACCTGTTCAGGCTGTTTCTCCAAAGCATCAGACTTCGGTATACTGTCCTCCACCTCTTCATCATATACTCTCTGCAACAGGACACAAACAAGAAAGATGTTTCCTTTTGACATCCCCTATTTTCAGTGAGAATTGTTAATGTTTTAGTCAAAGAAGTAAAAAACCAAAGTACAATACAATATTTCAATTAAATACATTACATTTTCTATAAACTGCGTATTGGAGAGCATGAGAAAGTCATTAAAGACAGAGTGCAGGCAGCTGTCTGTGGCCTTGGTGTCCCGGATCAGACTGTCCAACTGCTTTTCAATCTCGTGAGTCTTTGACAACATCCTCTGGGAAAAGTCTTGAAGAAACAGGAAGAGCTGTGAAGAAAAAACCCCGCAATTGAGACAGTAACATTTTCACAGTTACTTTCTTCACACCCGTGCAGGACAATTTCACAATCCCCTCAACCACTCTGTTTTCTAAAAAGACAGATTCTGCAGCATTTCTCTGACCATGCGAGAGACATTCAATTTTACTTGGCTTCCATCAAAGCCGGGGAAGATGTTCACTTACTCCTGAATCAGCTGCTAAAGACCAACTGGCACTGCTTTGTCTCATTTCTTCAAGACTCCAGGGTCTCTCCCAAATCTGAGCATCATTCTCAAAGTGTTCACTCCGGCTTGGGCCATTTGCCATTCCCTCCGGCAAGCCGCTCATCTGCAATTAAATCACATGGTGTCATTAATGGCATGAATGATTCGAAAGGGCTTTTAAACACCCGTCATTAAAAAATCATGAATACAAAAATATAAAAGGAATGTTCAACTCCTTCTGATGTTGCCCACATATCTGTTTTATATCTTTATATTTGTACCAGTTTCTGCTTAAGCTTACTAAATATAAAGGCTTGTTGGAGAACATCTAGGAAACAATGAGTGGACATAACAAGCTGTCTTCTGCTGAACTAAATTACTGTGAAGGGACGGTGGCATTTCTTCGTAGAATCTGGGACATGAACAAGGCCAAATAAGAGACATATATTTTTCATCCAAGCAAAGAACAATCCGTGAGAACTACTGCCCTCTATTCCAATAAATAACCAGACAGAAGATCATTCACCTCAGTGTTTCTAGAGAGCAAACAGTGGCAGCTCGCCGTGGCCCTTCCCTGCCACTATATGAATATATCATGTGTTGTTGTACAATCTATGTTACTGTCTCAGTTTTAACAGAAGTGTTTGCAATCCTTCAAGTTATCATGATTTATTTTATGTCTCATGTAAAGCACTTGGTGTTGAAATGTCTTATACAAATAAACTTGCCTCAAAACCAGACTGTGTGTCACTAGACCAACTGATGACAGAACACAATCAGATTTAATCCTCTGACTTCCTGCTCACGTGCAGACTGTCTCTCTGTGTGTAGATAGTGAATTTGTCTTCTGAGCCACTTAAATATCAGAAGATTCGTTTCACTTCCATTTACGCGTTGATTTCCTTGTTGTTTTCCTGCTACACTTGCGACACAACAAGCTAGCTTCGGCCACGCACACTAACACACGAGCGGAGGACAACTTGTTGAGTCCATGTAAAGTTGCTTGAATGGAATTACTTCCCTTTAGCCTTAGCATTCTAACAGACCTATGCTGAACAGAGAGAGCGGGGGACTGTTTGGCTAGCAGCTAGCTCAAGTTAGCTAGCCAACCCTGACGTTAGCTTCGGCTGCTGAGAGTTAACGCAGAACAATAAATCCAGCGCAGTGCACGCGCTCTCATTCTTACCTTGAATCAGATGAAGCCCACGACGCTCGACTTGTGTTCACACACGACGTAAAAAAAATAAGATCGATTATGCTAAATATGGCCTTTCCCTCATTGGTCTTCTGACAGGTCAGCCATGTTCTGTCTGCAGACAGTCACCTGACTACCGTCTCCTAGCAACCCAGAGAGATCGGGGCGGAGTGGAACGAACCAACAACGAGCGGATGAAAAAAAGAAAAAAGAGCGGACCTCGTTGAAGACAGGAGGGTGACGGTGGCTCAGGGAACAGTCGTCCTCTGTTTGTCGGTGAGAGTTTGTGCTTCACGCTAACCTTCCTGTGACCATCGATTATATTTGGATTCTTTCAGCAGAGACGTTCAGAGACAGATGAGGAATAAACACAACCACGTGTTGTCTCATCAAACCAAACCTAAACCATCTCAAATCGAGATTATCTCACCTCATCTGATGTTATTCAGTCTAACTCTCAAAGAAAGAACATGATTGAGTTTCTAACACGACATATACATCCTGATGGGCCCTTAGCTGATTAGTGACCCATCAATTACTATTACACATATTTAAAGAGGTACTATACACACTTAAATGAGCTGTAAACCAAGTCACATATATTTCCTTAATATCCAATAATATCTGCAAATGAGTTGTACCCAAGTCCAAGTCGACAAACTACCAAAAGCTTATCACAATTTCTATATTGTGCGACTTCTTGAAAAAGAAGTCAACTTAACTTTTAATTTAATTACATCTTGTGTAAGAAAATGTTAGAATTCCAATCTCAGTCTGTTTTGTATCAATCAATCAACAAATATACTTGTGTTTTATTGTATTTCTGTGAAGAGATCTATGAGAATAATGAATATTTCTGGCAGAATGTAAATAAAGTTTATTTTCTTCGCTTGGCAACAGATATAAAAATATTTTGAATCAATAAAAAATAAACAACATGAACACACACACTCAACACAATAAAATTATGAAAATAACTCAACAAAATGTGTCCGAGAACAAATGACAAAGTTAATTTGTCAATTATACAAAGTGTAAATTAAGTTAGTCATAGGGTTGTGCACACTGTGGCTCGCAGAGAAACCTGAATAATACAGTCATCATGAATGTCTGTTCTCACAACTATGGCCAATTGGCAGTGAATAAGGCCATCTGCAGTTTTATGATAATTACTGTAGGTAACAAAACGAGAACACCTGAGAAACTCACTAGCTGCTGTTCTTAAACAGACAACGTGTGGTCAAAGGACTGCATGGGCAAGAGAACAGCAACACTGCACATATACCTAACATGACAGATGCTGCCACGTCTAAAAATAGATACATCAGTGCAGATCAATGAAAAAAGTTATTCAAACGTCATTGGAAAAACATTTGGCTTCCAGCTGATTTATGGGATAGTACCACACATATAGTAACTTTAGTAAATTACTCAGACTGGAAGACACAAACACAAACATTCATACATACACTGATTTTGAGACATTACAAAGCTGGAGAAAAACAGGGCTCCTCCCAATAAACGCAGGTTGTTGTAAGCACTCAACTGCAGTATGTAACACAAACACATTAATATACACAGCTGAATATCTGAAAACAGCAGCATTGTAACTGATGTTATTTACAAAAACATACATCAAATGTAAATTACTTTTCTTGTGCAGCATTTACCAAATGCAGATGAAACATTGTGAGCTCTCCTAAAAAAATGTACTTCAAAAATATACAATGTTTGTATTAACAATGAAACTAGACAGAGGAACAAAGAACAGGGAAATACTCCAGTGCAAATTGAGCATATTGTTAAGAAAATAGCTATTAAAGCCTTGAAAATTAAAAATGTCTAGAATTTATCTAGACACTTATTTATTAAGTTGGTCTTGTATGAACAAGATTGTCAACTTCTATTTCTTGGTTCAACTCCCTAGGAAGTGATCCTATTGCCTCTTCTGTTTTATTTTTTACATCCATTGGATCGGGTCCTTCAGTTTCTCCATGTGTTTCACCAAGTACAATGTTCTGCTCCTCCTCAGCGATTATTAGGACCTCATTCTCTTCAGCTTCATTGGTTTCTTCCACTTGTTTATTCTCCAAAATCACAACTCCCTCTCCATCACCACTGTTGTGCTCTTCTTGGCTACTGACCATTGTATCCACAGAAGGAGGTTGCCAGTAATCATACAGCTTGCCCTAGGGGACAAAATCAAAGCAATACATTTCATCTAATTATTGGAATACTAAATAGTCTACTTTTAAGCATTGTAAGATAGATTGCGTGTGAGACATACATGGAGAGGCTTGATCTTCTGAAGCACCATCTGCCACTTGGTGTCGATCCTGGCCACTAGATCCTTTACCTTGAGGAGGAACAGGAAGGTAGAGGTTGTCAGACAGATTCATGTAGCACATTACATCTAGACAGCAAAGGGACATTTATTTATTCATGTCATTGCTACGGACACTGATTTAAAAAGTGAAATAATTTTTAATGTATGTTTGGACGGTAAAGAAAAGTTATAATTTATTTTTTACCAGCTCTGTAAGTAAGTTACTGCTCCTAACTGTGTCTCTATCATTCATGCAGTACACTGCTAACCCAATCGAGCCAAACCTATCACACCCAGCATCCACTATGGCCCTCAAAACATAGTTTACTAATTCTGTTGTTTTTACCTTGTTTGAGTTTACACACGTGTCCGATGAAACTGTTTGTGTATGAGTGTGTTTGTGTTAGCGCGAGAGAGAGGGGAAGAGAGCATGCGGGACGGGCTGATGAAAACACGCAGCTGCAGATTTTTAAATAAAGAAAGAGATATTATTTGTTAATTTGTTAAACCAAAGACATTGTCATTGAATATTACATTGTTCCTGCACAGTCTTTTTTTACAAGCTTCTCAAACACCCTGTTCGATCTCCAGTTCAATTTCATACCAAACACTATGACAGAAGGCTTAAACCTAACAGAGCACTAGACTCTTTTATAAATGTAGCCATTGAAAATGTGTCTATAATACATCTGGATCTACATCAAAATACTCTTAAGTTCCTTTGGAAATCACACTCACTTTGCTCCGGTAAAGACATTTCTCGCTCTCTCTGATGTCACACTTAATATGCGTTTCAAGCTCAGAGCACAGGGAAAGGAGCTGCCCCTGAGAGCCGGAAATAAAAAAAGAAAAGTCAACATTAAAACTCCCAGCCCTCCCAACAACAGAGATCAGACAGAATATGAAAGCAATAGGGATAAATTATACCTTCTGATGGGCTGGGAAGAACTGAAAGTTGGAAGCTTCATTCGTCAATGTCAGAAGGCTATAGCAGAGGTAGTAGGACTGAAACACATTAATAAACACAAATACATTTTCATGAGAAAAGATTATGTGACTATAAGATCCTTTATTTACACATAAGAAAAAGATATGAAGACAAGACAAAAAAAATATTCTAAAATAAATTTTAGGTCGAAAACATTTTAAAGCTTAAAAGTCCAGTGTGTAAGATTTAGGTGAAAGGGAACTATAGGCAGAAATTTAATGTAGAATAATCCTCATGATGTTTTCACTAGTTCATTTCATCTAAATTGTATGAATTATAGTTTTCCCCAGAAAAGGCCCTTTATATTTAAATACCTTATATTTACATCAAGGGGACCCTCTCTACGGAGGCCGCCATGTTTTTTACATTAGTCCAGACTGGACAAACTAAACATCTTTTGAGTTTTCAGGACATCTGAAGCTACCACAGGTTCTTTATCATGTTTGGAAGGAGAGGGTGAGGTGAGGGGTGTTCAGCTGCAACATGTAACTTCAACACTAGATATCACAAAATTCTACACACTGTACCTTTAAGGCATTAACCCTGTGCTCACCTGTTGGTCAAGTGTGGCCATGTCCACCTTATCGTTCTGAGTCATGCTGTAGGAGCTCAGCATGCTTCGGAGTAGGGCTGATGGTTGCATAGAGGGAAGGTATCGCCTCAGCGTGGAGAGCTACGCACAACACCAGGCACTCATTACATTGCAATATTCATTTCAATTTTAAGAAACTGTAAAAGCAACTTCACATATTTCAAGTGCGGGCATCTAAAAGAAACTGTCTGAAACAAATCACCTTAAATTGTTTTCCTCCAGGTCTGGAGGTGCATTTTCCATCCAGCAGCTTAGAGATCATAGACAGGCTCAGATGTTGACGCAGCTGCCTTTACAAATAAACAACACACATCTTTACTTTTAATGGTGCACTGTTGTAAACACAGTGCAATAAAGTCGACTATCTAAAAGTAATTGAGACAAGGTGATCAGAAAGGCAAAGGATAGAAAGACTTACCTCCCACGTGTGTTGTCAGGCAGCAGTTGGACGAGCAGACACATGTTGTGGTGGTCTTTAGTCAGATCAGTAAGGGCCAGGCAGATTCTGGGCAGCTTAAGAGATTTAATAATGAATATTAAGTAAGTAACTCTGTAAATAAATTCACAAGAGGCAACATCACTCAAATTAGGCCAATTGCTGTAGAAAATATACATTCTTGTACTCCAGTGGTAACATAAAAACTGCGAGTCTCACTATCTGCCTAACATTTCAGCAAATTAAAAGAATCAGAGGCACATAAGTACTGACCATAGTGTCCCAGTCCCTGATGTTGTTGACAATTTTATACTGTAGAGAAAACAGCTCCACACTGGACTGGAGGATGAGCTGTGTGTCGAGGCACACCTTTCCCAGCACAGTTAGCAGCAGGAGCAGCTCGTCGTCGCTGTACGCCCGTGGATTCAGGCCGAAACAGAAAGACAAGTACTGCAGACAAGAACACGGGGGGAAAACAAGCAGTGAATGATCTGAGAGGCACATTTTTGGGGTCTCTGTCAAACTCCGACATAAATTCGAGTTAACTATTTTTATACCTTCAAGATGTTGTTGTAGTTGTGTTCGGGGACAGTTCTCTGTTCCTCGTTGCTGGAAGCACTGTCACATTGGATAGAAATGTCCTCCCTACATAAACACACAATTAAACAGATGTAAACACATTAGGCATTTTAGGCAAAAACACAACTGAATTCATGACCAACAACTTGTTTCAAATATATTCACCAGATGCTACTTACAGCAAATCTCCTTCTGTAAATGGAGGTTGCAGATTCTCAAATGGGAAGAGAGTCACAAAAGCAACTCCCATATTCATTAGGACCAGTGTCACATCAGCCAAACTGGGAACCCACACTTTAAACTGCTGGCTTTCATTTTTCACTGAGGAATTACACAAACAGAAAAAAACTTGTGTTAACATGTCTAATCGACTTATAGTGAAGACATAGAAAAAGCATGAGGATGATGGGAACACTGACCTATCTGATTAACAGCAGTGCAGGCGATATCACAGAGAGCCTGCAGTATCTTTTTGGATACCAGCCTCTCACTATGGACAGACATCATCTGACAACATTGAACAAACAATCATTAGCACTGCTCAGACATTCAGACAGAAATCACTACTGATGAAATGCTACAGTGTGTGTGTGGGGCCCACCTTGAACAGGAAACGGGTAATCTGAGCTGGACAGGGTGAGCAACAGTTGTAAGCTTCTTGGAACAATCCAATCATCACATGCAACCTCAGTTGAGCAGGACTGGACCTGATAGGAAGGGGGGGAATGTAAGAGAGATGTTTGAAGAATTATAAGTAAATACAACAAAATATATGACAAAGAAATATAACACTGTGCACTGCTGGATGGAGCTAACATGATTGTTGACTGGTGTTTCCAGTGTGGACGTTAAAAATATAATTTGTGCTGATGGTTTGCCAAAAGGCAAGGCCAAAGTGTCATTAAATCCAAATGGGTTCATCCCATTGGCAGCATTAATATGCTCAGCCAAATGCTTATTCTTACATTTATTATATGGAAATATAGGACAGTGGTGTGACTTAAGGAAGGTGTGGGAATCACCAAAAATGTCCTCTGAGGACTATACAAATTAATTTTTAAATTTTTGCACTTGTTTTTCATGACAAACTTATTTGGACAAAAATATTGGTCACAGTTTTAGCTGTTGTCAAGGTCAATGTTGCTCTGACATGTACACATGGCTCACCATAGAAGTGTGTTCTTTGTTGTCCCCTCCGGAGTCACCATGCATTGTCGGAGCTGCAGTGTGTCCTGGTTGAAGATTTGACCAAATTTCTCCATGTTGAACACCGGTTCTCCAGGGGGCACATCCCTGATTGCACTCGACGTCAGCGAGTAGCGCTGCAGAAATTCCCTGGAAAACACATGAGAAGCATAAAATGCAGATTACAGTTAAAGACTGTACAAAGACTGTGTCCCAATGATAAGGTAAAATGTGCATGTCTCACTGTTGTTCAGTGGAGATGCCCTCTTCCAGTTTCTCCTCGGTCTCATATTCAGCTATTCGCAATAGGTCCTCTTGACATGCAGTCAGAAGCTGTACCTCAATGTCTTTCGCTCTGATAGACAAAAAGAATTTGGATTAAGTTGAATCCTCACAGCTACTGTAGCTCAAAAGGTTATGAGAATAAAAACAACAGAATAATATACTTTTTATTGGTGTTTATTTCCTTCAGCATTTGATCGAGATTGTTTTTGTAGACACCTGGCTTTGTGGAGGATGGTAATGGCTGTAGTGGGGAAACACAAAAGATGACATTCAAGCTCCAAAGAGAGACAGTAGGAGCTGATTATCACATCTTTATAAGTTGATCTACAATTAAGACAAGTAATTTGGAGCTTACAGATTTTAACTGGCTGCTGTGATGTCCAGGTGTACTCGGCTCTGAGAAGGCTCCCTTCTCTGGCGTATCTGGAAGCTTGGTCACATGCTTCATCATCTCCTGCAAGGACAGCAGTGACCCCTCCTCACTGCCATGAGAGCTCTGGGTTACATCCAGATCTAATGAAAAGCTCAGGTCGAGGTCCAGTTCCACATCTACGGCGTCCTCTTCATTTTCCTGCTTTCTATTCTTCTCACTTTCCTGCCTCTCCAGTGATGGAGACTGAGAACCATGGGAAACCTGCGTCCGTTCGGAAGCAGTAGTGTCAGCCTTTAAGCTGCGTTTCCCACCAGATTTAACAGACTCTTCTTTGAGCCTCCTACCTGAGGAGGTGATACAACCATTTTTGAGTTCCCTATCTTTAGAACAAAAGGAGATCGCATTTTCAAGTTTTAATCGTTCTAAAGTTACAGTGGGCGAGACAAAGCGTGTGTTACCTGCCGAAGAAGAGATTTTAGTGTCCTCTGCATGAGTAAAACTACTTTCTGGAGTTTTGCGACACATGGGTCCAGTTACTGCAGTGCTGGATGAACAACTTTTCTCTGAGGTGGGTGATTTAATCGTTCCCCCCTCTTTCTTGGGCTTTGCACTCTTATGAGCAGCACTGACTACGTAAGTCATGGGATCTGGGGCGAAGAGCTCATCTGTATCAACAGGGATTACAACAGGTCTTCGCGGGCGGGCAATTTTATTTCGTTCTACTGTGCGACCGTTACATGAATTTGGGTTTGATGCTAATTTGGGAGGGATACTGTCCGTCTTTCTGCTCTCTGTCTTGACTGGTGAAACTGAGTTGCTGTGCTCATGAGATAAACTATGAGAGAGCCTTTGGGGAACCTCAGCGGACAATGAAAAGCGCAATTTAGTCTTTCTATTGTTTTCCTCTGCTCTTTTTTTAAAACTTTCTTCAATGGGCAGTGAAGGCGACGTAAATTCTTTTAACTTCAGAATTTGATCCTGAGTGGAACTTATATATGCCTGCTTTGCCCCGATTGAGGGTCGTCCCTTAAGACAAGGTTTAAGTGACAGTGATGCACAGGATGACTGGGTAGTTTTAAATGTGGAAGACTCTGAGCGCTGATGGTTATCTCGTGTTTCACATGGCAGTTCTATGGCTGAAGAATGCTTCGATGGAGACACTGGTAAAGTTCTGACTGAGTTGTTAACGGTTGGTTTTGGAGTCTGTGCTATTCCAGATTTTCCACCCAGATGACACAGTTTCTTGGCATTGTTGTCACAGTCCTCAAACTCTCTGCGCCTCTTCTGTGATGAGCAGTTGACTCCTAAAGACAGAAAAAACAAACACAATACAACACTTTTGTGAATCATTCAAGTGATCTCTTAAAATAAGGAAAAACCTTTGATGAAGGTTGATTATATGAGCCATATAACAAATCAAATATCAAAAATATGAGATAGAAACAAATGAAGTGCTAACAAGTAGGAAAATGAGCTGTAACAATCTACATTACCAAAGGAGAAAAATGCGCATTTACAAAATTGGTGTATAAATAAGCTGATGGGTAATTTACCTGGAATCAGCTTTTCACTTGAAGGCGTTTCTTTATGTTGCTGGTCCTAAAATAGAAAACAAAATCTTAGAGCTTAGAAGCAGGTTTCCTTTGGTGAGTTTTCAACAGCAATACAACCATTACCTTGCATTCAATACTTTGAAGACAGTTACATCTGTCTCACTTACCAGACAATTTTAAAACAACTAGCAGATACTGGTCACACTGGCATCATTACAAGAGACCAGTTACATAAGTACCAGTGAACTGACTTGCTAAAGTCTGTAAATGCCTTTAAACTTAAGAATACCCGACCAACCGGCCTATTTCAGGCTCTAAATCAATGCTAAGTGCTGGCAAAAACATTTTGATTTCTTTGATCCACATGATATGAAGTAAACTGCTCTAAGCACACAGCAATGCAGCATCTGTGATAATGCAATGAATGAACTTCACAATCATCCCTTCTGATTGTGAAGCTGCTAAATGGCAACACATCCCAAACAGAAAACCAATGATTTCAGATGCTTGATTAACATGTAAAACACTCAACCTGGCAAGGGGCTGCAGGGCTGTGCGTGATGGGCAGATTGGAACAACTACTTCTCTCAGTAGAGTGGGTATTCTGAGAAGGCTGGTAGCCATGTGGAGTCGAGTGGCTGTAAGCAGGACTCCGGGGCTCTGAGTCTGAGAGGGGCTGTGGGTTAACTTCACAAGCTGCTCTGGTGTTGAGTGATGGGGTCACCTGGCGCATGTGCAGCTGGGCAGTTGGTACGGGACTCCTCATGTCACTGGATTGAGCCTAAAAGAGTACAAAACAATTCAACAGCAAATGATGGTACAGGTCATCAATAAGACACTCAGTAAAACCAGGTTTTAGTGGCCACATAGAAGAGGGAACAATACCTTGTTTGATTCTTGATACTTGATGACGTTTTTGTTTCCTGAATGAGACAACCTGGCCTTGGCTTCAGATAATTCCTCTCTCCTGATGTGTAAGGACAACGTGTAATTGCTTATATCTGTCATAAACTGAGGGGAAGCATGGTGAAAGATACCAGGAGGCGAGGGCTGTGGGCTATTCAATGACATGTCAATGTCAGATGGGCTGACTGGCTCACAATGTGATGTGCAGAAGGGCCTGGGGGGTTGAGCAGAGTGCTGTGGTGGACCCAGTCGGTCCTTTGACATGTGATGGGGCCAATTTGTTGGGTTTCCAACATTAACTGGGCTGTCTGATGGATGGATTTGTCCCAGGTGATGAGAAGAATGCTGATGTGGACCCAATCTGTCCCTTTGGAACAGCCCAGGGCTCTGACGTGACAACACTCTCTTGGGTAGTGGTTGAGAAAGCTGGTTAGGCATCTGAGAGGGGTTCATTGGAGTCTCCAGGTGAAAAGACGTGTCATGGGGTAGGGAACGTTGTTGGAGTGGGAGGTCCTTCACTGAAACACAGAACAGCAACAATGTGAAAAAACATGCCACTGAGTTTTCAAAAGTGAACAGAGTTGAACAGATTGTCATTCCAGGGCCCATTATGCCTAAAGCTGTCACTTATCACTCAAGCATGTGACACTTTTCTTTGTCGTTCTGCCTGACACAAAACTCTTGTTACATTTATGTTGCTGAAACCTGTCTAGCATTGCTTGGGGCTATATTCCATCACCACAAAGCTCATACATTATTATAGTACAGTGTTTCCACACCTTTTGCAACATCAAATTCAAGTAGTTACAGTGCAAAGCTTGAGACAAAAGTTGATTACTGCTACATTGCAAAGGTTTTTTACAATGGAAAAAAAGCCTCTGTCTCTGAAATCTGTTCATCGAATATGTGATGGAAGTTTTCTGGAATCTGGTGAAAAGAGAACTCAGGCAGCAACTGATGTCTTACACAGAAGAGTTTAACGTTGACTTGATGCATCAAGGAGACTAGAAGGTGCAACAATATAACGACAACAGAGAAACATAGTGATGTTTTCACTCGTTCATTTCATCTAAATTGTATGAATTGTAGTTTTCTCTCACCAGAAAAGGCCCTTTATATTTAAATATTTCATATTTAGGTTGAGGGGGTCCTCTCTACGGGGGCCACCATGTTTTTTACATTAGTCCAGACTGGACAAACTAAACAACTTTTGAGTGTCTATGCTACCACAGGCTCTTTTTCATGTTTGGAAGGGGAGGGTGAGGTGAAGGGTATTCAGCTGCAATATGCAATTTTAACACTAGATATCAAAACATTCTATACACTGTGCCTTTAAAGTATGCATACACAAATCACATTATGTCCTTACTTCTTTCCACTGGTGAAATACGCAAAAGAGTTAATCTGAATTAGATATGACAGTCCATAAGCACAGATGCTACAATGTACTGCTGGTTGGCCGTTTATCTATAACCTGACCTTGGGTATTGCTTGGAGAGAAAGGAGTACGTGTGGAATGAGACAGGCTCTAGTCTCCTAATGGTGTACAGATGTAATGTGTGAGGAGTGTCAAAAACTCAACAAAAATATTTTATTATCTGTTTGCTTAGAAGACAGATAATAATAATAAAGTTATTTTAAAAATAACTTGAAAATATAAGGTGTCACAGGAACCATGTTCATTACTGAATTCTCTGAATTAGCTCCAGCAGGAAGGTAATGTGCACATTTAATTGGACTTCTATGTTGCTACATTCAAAGTTTTCCATGCCTAGATTTTGCAGTAGCACATGCAAACAGATTCACCTTCAACAAATGTTTTGTATTTTTGTTCATTCCTTTTACAAGATGTTTTATTTTTTTATGTAGTTCTTAAAGATAATGAAAGCATTAAATTAAGCTATTGCAACATTGCATATTATAAAAGTTTGAGTTCTAATCCTGCACAAAAGGCCATTTCCATGTATTTCATGTTTTATACTTGGATGAATGGACAAACTAATGATTGAATTTTTTTCTCATGAAGTCTACTTACGTGATTTAAGATACAGTGAGACACAGCCATTCAAAATATTAATAATAACAAACTACATGCTGTAGTCATCAGAACTCTCTCTCTGAATCCCTCCCCCCGTCCCTTCCTCAATCAACAAATGATGACAGATATGTACAAACTGATCGAGCACTTTAAATATCCACTAACATTTTCATGTTACATGGATATTTCTGTGTATCCTATGTTGTCTTTAAATGTGACCTGCACCCTGATCTGTGGAGGAAGGCACTTCGCTCTCACATGTGCTGTAATGGGTTGTATAGAGGTGACAAATAAAGCTGAATCTTGGACAAAACAGCTACAACTATAATTCTGTATGACAGTTTCAAACTGGAAAATCTCTTCTACGGAGACATTTTGAATGGATACCTTGTGCTTGCTGTCAGCGCTCCACACAGAGAGACATTTACTTTAAGAGAAGGAAAAAGACACATGACATCCAGCTTGGTGACAGAGAGAGAGCGGACCAATTTCAGATAGAGAGAGAGAGAGAGAAACTGTACCAGTTCAAGAGGAAGGAGAGAGACCCTGAGAGAGAGAGAGGGAGAGAGAGACACTGTACCAGTTCAAGAGGAAGGAGGGAGACCCTGAGAGAGAGAGAGAGAGAGAGAGAGAGCATTGCATGGGGCATGTGCCCCGGTTGGCAAGGCACCCATAATAAAACATCAAACATGGCAGCAGTCATGTAGCATTGATGCATTTGTAGTGCAGCCTGCCATTGGTAGTTCCCCTTCATCATGACGTGAATCTTTCTAAATACACTGTGTGGTAATTTCGGAGGAAACACTTGACCCACCTTTACTCCTCGGGGACATGTATCCTGCAAGTGTCCTGCAAGAGAAGGACGAACCGATCATGGTGTTTGTGTCACCAAGAAGACGAAGCAGCAGCAGCAGCAGCAGCAGCAGAGTCAGATATGAATTCATAAAACAAGCGTGAACCCCGCCTGGAGGTGTCTATTAACCGCAGCCAACAAAAAGCGGACACCTGCCTCTCACCTGGTGCCTTCCCACCAGTCACAGCACGTAACGTCACAACAACAACACGAGTCCCAGCAGCGAATATGACGGAGGTTAGCTTTAACGCGACACTACTGTTCAGTGTGTCGGTTGAACATCTCAATCAATAACAAACTACCAACAGTAATGGCGAGTGTTAGCAGCGCTTATTCTACTGAGTTGAAAACTAGCTTGGTGATGCTAGCAATGAAACCGGTGTGTTTACATCGTTGTTGTTTTCAAAACGGCTGCTACTTTTTTTTTTTTACCGTGCGTGTCTGGTTTCGGGAACTAACACTAACAGGCCTGCTCGCAGATTCAGTAGAAACTATAACGGCCTTTACTTTACAGCTCGGGGCTAAACAGAGTGCACGGTTAGCAAGACGTTGTTTCAGGAAGTGGTCTGTTTAGCTAGCGGGCTAACAGTTTAACATCGTGATAACAAAGTGTCTGTTCTCACCGAGAGTTCCTGTGGTTTTCTGTAGTTTTTCTCATGGTGAGGAGCGGGAGGTCTGTCCATAACCACAGACAGGGACGACAACAGACCGAGGGGAGAGCTCTAGTGTTCAAATCTTAACAGTAGTGAGAACCTGCTCCCGCCTGCGACCGCACTGACCAACCGAACACTGCAAAGCATCATGGAACCTGGAGTCCAGATTTCCCTTCTTCCCTCGGTTTACTTCTTCGTCCTCTTCATTACCGCCACCTTCTGGACTGGAGTGTGGAGCAGTGGTAGTAACAACTTTTTTTAGTCCTGTGTCTCTGAAGCAGTTCGTTAGAAGATGTTTATTCCTTCATGTCTTCCCGAGCAAATGTTCTAATGTAATATTTAACTTTTCATCTTTTAATCCTGATATGAATTCCATTTTTTGTTCATCTGTGTGTTCCTCTCTAGCAACACATGAGTATAGAACACACATCCTTCTACCAGGTTTAATGGAAATTCGTCCAGTAGTTTTTGCTGAACCTTGCTTGCAAACCAAGAAATCAATAGACAACCAAATAATATATAAGAACACAAAGTATTGATTTGGATTGGATAAGTGCACATTTATTACATCAGAACTTTCAGGGTACATTAAGCCAATAGAATTATATTTCCTGAAGACAAATGCTCCATTCACAGACTGTTCACCCAAAACCACCTCTGCTGATGCAGTCATATACTTTAGAAGGTTGAGGCACATGGATACATCACACGACACCAAGAGGGAAAAGCTGATCGTAAAGTAGTGGTTCAAAATGACCAAACTTGGTGAGACACAAAAAGAAAAGCACGGATAGTCTGACACAACACAGGCTGTGACAACACACAGGGACATTGCACAAACAGAAGACAGAGACATAAAGAGAGAGGAACTGTTTTCACTGTCTCATCATGCTGTCAAGAGATTGCTAAATGACATCCCTTTATCACTGGAATGCATCGATAACATGCTTTGAAAAGTGAGATCAAATAAGTCTGCAGCCTTTGCATAGGTCCCTTGCTGTTAAAAGGTGTCTAACTAAATCTAAAAATTCCCAGTGTGTGTAAATATAATTTATTCAAAAGTACATTTTAAATTGAATTATAATAGACTACAATATCTTTAATTTGCCATGGCAGTAATATTGGCATCCTGGGCAGAAGTCAATATGATGAGACGCTCAGATTTAACTTCCTGACCATAATCAGGGCATTTGAAAAACAGTGTCTCATAAAGATGTACAGTACAAGCGAATACCTCAACAAGAGCAGTCAGCCAAATGATTCTCTACACGTTGCCCAGGATTTAACTCTTTATCTGTAATTTCTTTAATCAGCATTTTGACAAAACCAATGACATCACAGCAAATATCTTTGTTTTCTCAAAAGACATTTAAACTATATAATCCATTTTAAACAGGAATGTTAAACGGAGTAAACGGGCAATTAGTTAAATATTCAAGTATTCAAATAAGAAACTGTCTTTCTCAGTAATACTGAGGATTTCAGTTCAATGCTAACTCATTAAAGGTTAAAACAACCTTTTTGGCAAAAATTACTTACAATCTCTTGAGAACTGTGGCTCTCTAATTTATATCTGTAATATATCCTACGAGTGAGGTCATCTCTGATCTAGGGTAGATCATCCAAAAATAAATTAGGGTTTAGAAACAAAAACATTAATCTGAGGCCAGTCGATACTATCACCCACAGAGAGCGGTATTTTGTCTCCTATTACTTTACTTCTTGGCCTTCCCCTGAGCAGCCACGGCCTCCATGGCTTTACGTACAGTCTCCTCGTCTCCCAGGAACTGCATAGGCTTCACAGGTTTCAGGTTTTTGTCGAGCTCATAGAGGATGGGGATGCCTGTGGGCAGGTTCAGTTCCATGATGGCCTCATCTGACATTCCTGCAGGTAGCAGCACACAAACACAACAGTTACACATTGTTTGGATCCGTCGACCTGATGTCACTCGAACACCACAACAGTTCAACGATTAACAATTTTCTTTGCTAAGATTCTTGACAATATCTTTGTGCCAGAGTTTACGAAACTGAAACAGATATTGAAATAATAGCACTCCATCGCCATCTAAAGTAAGAATCAGAGCACCACCCACCCTCCAGATGCTTAACAATCCCCCTCAGGCTGTTTCCATGGGCGGCGATGAGCACCCTCTTCCCCTGTTTGATCTGAGGGGCGATCTCGTCGTTCCAGAAGGGCAGCGCCCGTGCGATGGTGTCCTTCAGGCTCTCGCAGGAGGGAAGCTGCTCCTCAGTCAGGTCCGCATAGCGACGATCCTGTGAGGAAGACAATCAGTATGTAAACATAATTCTATATATCAGAAAGTTATGCCCTGCTGTAAACTAGCGATTTGTGTCCTGTTAGAGTGATTCTGAAGATATATAAATCCTCAAATTTGAGATGTATTAGAGGGAAAAGTAAAGCTGTGTATAGGTCATAAACGCTGTCTCCTCTATGTTAGCGGATGGAAAGCGGACCTGAGTAAAATGTTGAAGTACAGGTTAAGAAATCGTTTAATTAGTCATTTGATGCTATAAATGTGATGCTATGAAACGTTATGATTGACCTGAAAACTTTGAATCGACTCTACAATCGCACCCATATCAGGGATATTATAGTTTTACTCTTGTGCAGCAGGAGGAAGTGGACACGCACCGTCCATCTTTATATACAGTCCATGCTGGGGACATTATTATTTCATTCATTTTCATTTGGAGGCATGAAAGAATCAGCTTATAACAATATTAACACATTGGTGATCACTGATCGTCTAAGTCCACGACACTGTTATTACACCTTTAACTTCTGTTGCGAGGGGAGATTGACATGTGATCAGTTGAGCTCTACCATGTGAACTTTGAACTTGAACCTAGGAGAACTCATTCTTGCTGGTCGTATATTAACTCACCTTGCATGCGCTATTAGGTAATAGCATCAGTAAATAGTATGAGGCTAAATCTTTACTGTGGCTGTGAGATTTGTTCTGTGTAACACATCTGCTTATTCGATTTGACCGTGCTGCAGACAAAAATACGCACATGACCTCAAATCCACCGTGTTCACTCATTCTTCAGGTTTCATTCATTCATGGCCACTGACTGCAGAGATCTTTTGTCATCATGCATCCTCTTTGTTCTGCCTGTGTGGACTCAGTTGATCCAGTCGGTCAATGTGTCCAAAAACATTTGTTTCCCCACAAGTGAACAAAGCCTCTTTTTGTGTGTCTGTTCTGCAGATACCATATCTCACCTTGCTGATGATAGTGTAGTAGTCATGGTCTGGGCCCATGATGGGAGGAGGAATATCAAACGAGCGTCTCCAGATCTTCACCTGAGCCTCTCCGTGCTTGGCGGCCGTCTCTGCCTTGTTCAGACCCGTCAGACCTCCGTAGTGGCGCTCGTTGAGCCGCCAGGTCCTGTGCACAGGCACCCACATCTGGTCAATGCCGTCCAGGACCAGCCACAGTGTCCTGATGGCCCGCTTCAGCACGGAAGTGTAGCAAATGTCGAACTCAAAGCCAGCATCTTTAGAGAGAGGGACACTAGGGTTGAATGCATTCAGACTGTAACCAATAAAAGATAAATCGACTTAAATTCTGTGGCTGTTTCTTTTAGACTTGTTTGGTTAGTAAATTCCTCCACACCACGCCTTCTGGGAACAAGTGTGAACCTGTTGCATTAAAAATAATTTATAAATGAAGCCATGAAGAGGGAAAAGAAAAAGCTCTTAAACCCTGAAAACAAGTAACACTTAGTGCTGCAGATAATAAGAGTTTTCATTACTAATTCATCTCCAGATACTTCTTATTATT